CACAACAGGGACTGTGTCATATCAGTGATTTGTTGAAACAACTTTGAAAAGATAAAGATGATATGCTGCCCATCATGTCTTCACTGAGTTGATCTAATACATTATAAACTTTATTGCAGAGATTCGGGAAGCTAAATGGGAAATCAGTAATGTAAACACATACTCGGAAGGCTTCTATACTTGTACGGCTAAAAGTACCGCTGGAGAAGGACAAGCTACAACATTCCTAGATGTAACAGGTAAGCATACTATGGTATAGGAAAAAGCTTAAAAAAATTATGATTTTCCGTTTCACCACCAAGTCTCTTTTTTCATCACAAATCCACAAAACACCGTAAAAAGTTTTGACCACTTTTAAATAGTTGTTTTTGGAGAACGGCCAGGTTTTTAGAATACAAAGTAACTACAAATTTTCGGCCAGTTAAATTTTTTAGAGTTGAAGTTCAACAGATATAGAAGTTGGGTTATATACAGTTGCAGAAATAGAATAGTTATAGAAAGTCATGTCTTTAAACAATTTCTTTGAGGAAAAATAAGTGAGCAATTTCTTGTGAAGCCGAAATTTTGGAGGTCAACAAATTACAAAAAATCCGTCAAATAATTAGGTGGCTGAATTTTTAGTGTTGGTGAAATTTTAGAGTTTTTACGATAGTACTGTTTATAGTCTGCATTTTCCTTCAGAAGATTGGTTAAAAAATAGCCAAATTTTTTGAGTAAAAACTGAAAATTGATTCAAATTTTGTCTGTTGGCTCCAAAATTAGGGTTCATTTCCAGAAATATTGAAGAATATAAGAAAAATGTGCAGAAAAATTTGGTTGAGAAAGTCTGAAGGAAAGTGCAGACTATAAATGGGACTATTTTGTGATGAAAAGAGGTAACTGGTGGTGGTAAGGGTAAACATGCAAAAAGTGTTCATTGAAACCCATTATTAACTGCATGTTTCTTTCTATTGTATTTCATTTTCAGAGCCACCACCGAGCATAGATATACCTCTCAATGTAAGCGTCTTACCTGGTAGAAATGCTGTGCTGACATGTACTGCATATAGTACGGTACAATTCAACATGACGTGGACAAAACCAGACAGTTTTGTTGTTTTATCAAGGCACCCAAGAGTGAAGTTTCTTCCCAATGGATCCTTAAAAATCAGGAAAGTTAACCAGGCAGATGGTGGTAGATACCAGTGTATTGCGTCAAATGAAGGTGGTTCGAGTGTCAAAGATGTCTTCCTAGCAATACAAGGTGATGCATTTATTTATTTATTAGTCCCCGTTCGGACGAAGTCCGAAAACGGGGACTTATAATTCGGTCTCCGTGCGTCCGTCCAGAGTCATATATCAGAATCCCTTGGACATGTGGGACATATGCACATGAAGTGGTTTAGCGATTTGATTCAAAATGGCCGACTGGCAGCCATCTTGTTTTTAAAAATGTTGTATTTTGGACATGCTTTGTCAGTTTTCATTCAAACTTAGTACATAGATTATACATGTTAGGATACATGTTCATGATGATTTATTTCACAATTGGATCAAAGATGGCTGACTGGCAGCCATCTTGTTTTTTGAAAATGTCGTATTTTGGACATGCTTTGTCAGTTTTCATTCAAATTTAGTACATAGATCATACATGTTAGGATACATGTCCCCGACCGTCGGTGAGTTCCTGAGTCTGTCTGTCCGACCGTCCGTGTGTCCGTGCGTCAGCCTATCCAACGTCATATTTCAGAATCCTGTGGACCGATTCTGTTCATTCTTTGCATGTGCCTAGTACCTTATGTGGGACATATGCACATGCAGTGGTTTAGCGATTCGATTCAAAATGGCCGACTAGCAGCCATCTTGTTTTTTGAAAATGTTGTATTTTGGACATGCTTTGTCAGTTTTCATTCAAACTTAGTACATAGATTATACATGTTAGGATACATGTCCATGATGATTTATTTCACAATTGGATCAAAGATGGCCGACTGGCAGCCATCTTGTTTTTTGAAAATGTCGTATTTTGGACATGCTTTGTCAGTTTTCATTCAAATTTAGTACATAGATCATACAAATGATCATGGAAACTTCATGATCATAAT